ATTTTTGGTTTTTTTTAAAACAGTTGTAACAGCTGGAGAAGGGCCCTGCTGCTTTTTTTTTTACATTACTGTGTGCAATTCTATAGGCCTACTGCCATGTTTTACAGTTTATACATTAATTTTTGGCAAATTATATAGGCCTACTGTCTCATTTTAGAGTTTGTACATTACTTTGGGAAATTTTATAGGCTTACTGTTTTGTTTCACAATGACTTTAAGAAGAATGAGACTTGGGTAGGCCTGGTTGAAGCTGAAACTACTGTAGTGTTGGATTTATCCATGGATACCAGGGTACTATCCATGGATACCAGGTCCATGGATACCAGGGTACTGTCCATGGATACCAGGGTACTATCCATGGATACCAGGTCCATGGATACCAGGGTACTATCCATGGATACCAGGTCCATGGATACCAGGGTACTATCCATGGATACCATGGTACTACTGTATAAAGGTCTTATTGCTTATTTATGATGATAATAATAATAATAATAATAATAATAATAAGAATAATAATATTCATGATCTTTGCAGATAATGATATTTTAGTAACAGAGTTGTTCTTGTTGTTACAGGGTATTGATGGAGAAGGTGGTGTATGCATTATCCGGCGCAACGGCTGTGAGCGCATGCGTTGCTGCATGGGCCGTGTAAAGTGGGTGTGCACCCGGTCAGCACTGCGGGCATACACGCACGTGTACACTGATGCCAGGGGAGGTACAGCGTTACCTGGAACACCATTATGGCAGCCTGGCTGAACCTGTCGGAGCTGAAAGATATTGTTCCAGAAGAGGCAGTGGACTACCAGCGGGCGGCTGGCTGACTTCTGTGGGGGGCATGTGAACGATGGCAGGTGCAAGGACCGCGTGCTGGATGTGGGTTGCGGCCCTGGTGGCTTGTCGTTCCATCTCAGCCGCCACTTCCGCCAAGTCATGGCACCGACATCAGCTATGAGATGATCACTGCGGCACAGACGCTCAAGCAATTTGGCGAGTTTGCTGTGTCGTTCCCCAGTGAGGGTGGCAACCACGTGTCGTTCCACAGCATTAGGGTCCCGGATGACTCATCCAGGGAACGAGTGGAGTTCTGGGATGAGGACGCCTGTGCTCTGGCATACACCTGCGGCACCTTTGATTGTGTTGTTGCCTCAAATGTCCTCACTGTCATGTATGACCCTAAGTCGTTCCTGCAGGATATTCACCGCTATGTGACTAATGGAGGACTGCTGGTGGTCGGTGATGCATATGACTGGAAAAGCGGTCCAGAGGTGCTGCTCGGAGGCTGGGGGGAGATGATGACTCCGACGCTATTGAGGAACATTTTGGAATCATCATGGTCATTGGTGGAGGAAACAAGCATGGCATATTATGTTCCAAGGTGTCGGAGGCTCGCCATAATCGGCAATGCTCACTTCACCATCTGGAAGAAGAAGCAAGATGATGACTCCCAAGACTGAACAATCAAGCACTCTGACTGCCTCTAGCAAGCTGTAGATACAAGGACCTAGAGCTGTTCTCTATTCCCATCCCCAGGCTCTCATTGACCCCTATGGATTTAACTCTCTTCCCCAATAAATTCCACAGAAATTATAATGACATGAATTGCCATACCTTAACCTTTTCTGTGTTGGTCCCATTTTATCACAGCTTTGAAGTCAATGTTGGTCCCATAATATGACGTCATGAGCTCATCTCACTCAGATATGCTGTGAGCAGTAAATTTAGGCCTAGATATGAGAAAAAATGGTTTATGCAGTAAGTGTGCACCATATGAAAAAAATCCTGCAGCACACAGTGCATAATGAGAAAATAAATGCGACTGTTTTTAGTTTAAAATTGCAACTTTGAGGTGTATTTTCATATGGATTTTTGGTTGTATTCTCGATTTCTTGGTCTCATTTGACAGAATCGAAGATATTTACAGAATAGAGATGATTTTGATTACTTTCAGGAGTGAAAGTGGCTTGAAATTGGGGTCAAAATAACAGAAATGTTTATTTTTGCCAATATTGCAAAGTACACAACTGATGTCACTTGTCCAATATACATCCAAACGGCCAGTCTAATGTGCATTTAGGAATGCATTAATATTATTTATGCAATTATTACAATAATGCAGTAGTCTGCATAACAGTAAATCTTTTATTTTTGTGTGTGAATAAAAATTGAAAAATGAAAAGCAAGTGTAATATAAGAGGCTCTGAGATGTGACTGAGGAACAAAGGAAATGTTTATTTAGTACCAGGAATGTCTACATTATTGGTTTTCTAATTGGCAATTGTTGAATTTTGTATGAAATTGGCCAAATTTCCTATTTCTGAACACCATTGGATAGTTGAAATAGATAAATGGGCAGTTTCTTGTACTCAGTTAATAGAATAGAATGAATACTAGCAAATAGCTATGAGTTTGACAGACTGGAACTATGGAATTGGCCAAAAATAGAGTGCAAAGTGGGCAGAATTGCTGATGCATAAATATCATTGAGACCACTACTTCGCAAGAGCATAATTGCATAAGTTTTCCATAAAATTTTGTACTTTTGGTTTCATTACTTTTGGAAAAAGATTCTCTGTCATTTCATAAGATAATTTTTTTTTTAATTCTTCATCTCTGGGAGCAGCTTGAGAGCTTGGATCTGGACGCTGAAAGGGTTAAGAAACCAGCATAACAAAAAATTTCCCAAAGCGACTAGAAGAAAGCATTAACCATCATTCAGTTACTGACTCTCGTGGGTAAGGAGTGTGCCAGCGATGCAGTTCTGATGACACCCTGACCTCATAAACGATTGTACCAGTACAAATGCCCAGGTGGAACAAACTATTAATGCTGTGGATGGAATACTTCAGGAACAGCACAGCAACACTGCTATACAATACAAAACCAACTCATCTTTACAGGGCCTGAAATCACAGTTTAAATCTACTTAGTAATCTTTATTTTAGCATGGTACAATGTAAGGAATGGGTGACATTCAGGTGTGCATGCAGAAAACCTATAGTTGGCCTATAGGCAAACTATAGGCCTATCTAAATTTAGACTAAAAGGTGATAATGAGCTCTTGTATATACAGTGGACCCCCGAGTTTCGTGATTAATCTGTTCCAGAGAGTCTGCCGACTGGCGAAATTCATGATTTGTGAATCTATTTTCCCCTTTCAGACAGCCAAAAATATTAACAAAAGATAATTTTTTGAAAGATTAAATATAGATTTACATACAGTAAACAATGACAAATAAACATAAAGCACTAATAAAATGGATAAATGAACATTTAACATCACACTTAACCTTTATTGATTCTTGTTGGTGTAGGAGGTAGGTAGGAGGCAAGAGGAAGACGAGTTTTTTATGCTTCAATATGATGCTAATATCTATCACAATTTTATCTGTCACAATTCGTCTATCACAATTCATCTAATGTGACATTATAAACAATATTAATAATATAGAAACATGATATATACTCTAGAATGAATAAAATATGTCATAATGTATTATTTTTATATTATATATTACCACATTGGCCGATTCCCACCAAGGCAGGGTGGCCCGAAAAAGAAAAACTTTCACCATCATTCACTCCATCACTGTCTTGCCAGAAGGGTGCTTTACACTACAGTTTTTAAACTGCAACATTAACACCCCTCCTTCAGAGTGCAGGCACTGTACTTCCCATCTCCAGGACTCAAGTCCGGCCTGCCGGTTTCCCTGAATCCCTTCATAAATGTTACCTTGCTCACACTCCAACAGCACGTCAAGTATTAAAAACCATTTGTCTCCATTCACTCCTATCAAACATGCTTGCGCATGCCCGCTGGAAGTCCAAGCCCTTCGCACACAAAACCTCCTTTACCCCCTCCCTCCAACCTTTCCTAGGCCGCCCCCCTACCCCCCCTTTCCCTTTCCCCTAAAGACTGATACACTCTTGAAGTCATTCTTTTAACTCCATTTCTCAAAAAGTTGAACTCCCTCAAAAAACCCTTCCCCCCCCTTTGGACAACGGTTTTGGCAATTGCCCCCTCCTCCTAATTTCCCAACTTGAATTCTCTGCATAATTTCACACCCCACATTCCCCCTCAGACATAATCCCACTGCCCCCGCCTTCCCTCGCTGAACATTCATCCCCATGCTTAAAACCATATAAGAGGGGTTGGTAAAACTGTACTCTCTACTTTCCCCCTCTTTCCCTCCAAGGACAAAGTTCTTTGTCTCCAAAGATCCAAAGTGCACCGGTCACCCTTTTCCCCCTCATATTCTATGTTTTCCCCTCATCTTTCATAGCCCCACTGCTGACTGTCCATTCCCAAATTTTTAATACATTAACCCCTCCTATCTCCCCCTCCAATTGATATCCAATTTTCATCACCTAATTTTTTGTTATCCTCATAACCTTACTCTTTCCTGTATTCCTTTTTAATTTTTTCTTCTTTTACTACCCACCAAATAACAAATAAAAAGTTTGGGTTTTTGGTTTTTAACCCTTTCAGGGTCCTCCCATAGATCTAGGCTTTACGTCGGGTCCAAACCGTAGTCTACGAAAATTCTAGCGCGTAAAAATTTAGCCGAGAAGGCTGGAAAGCTACATCTGAGAGTGGGTCGGGGGGTCAGTGTGCACACCATAGAAAAAATCTGGTGCCCGCAGGGCATTGTGGGAACGCCGGCAAATAGCTTTGTTCAAAAGCCTGGCGGCAAGATGCTCTCATCCCAGTCACTCTCGGGGCGAATTCGACTCTCTCTTCACAACTTACAGTTCTAAGACTGTGGAAGTGGAGCTAAACAAATTCTGGGTTTTTTGAACCTTTGGGTCCCTTGTGAATAGGTAAAATGGACCTTTTGGTACAAGGGGCCCATGCATAAAAAGGTATATGGACAATGGTAAGGGTACAATGGTACCAATGGAAAATGTCCATATATTACTTTTGTACATAGGTACTTTTCCCCTATGGTAGGGGGTACAGGGACCCTAAGGGAAAAAGCTGTCTGACTTTTTTGGGGTTTAAAAAGGTTTCCAAACTATGTGCAAGTATGATAATCTATGAAAACTTTATTTGTGTATAACTAAATAAACTTACTTTTGGCCACATGCATTGAGTAAGTTTTTTAAAGGGGTGTACAGAAAAAAAATTTCATAGTTATATACATACATCATACGTATAAAATCTTGGAAAACCCAAAAAAAAGTAAAGGTGATTAAATTCAATATTTATCCCTGTATCTGTACCTTTGGGGGGTTCCGTTTTTGGGCCCCTGTCCATATGGTCCCTGTGTCATAGGGTACCCTGTGCCTGGGGTTTCCCCTGTCCCATATGGTACCCTGTCCTTGGTACCCTGTACCATATGGTCCCCTTTTACCAAATGTAAATGTACCATAGGTACCGTAACATAGATACCGTGACCATTGTTAATAGGTGTTGGGGGCAAAAACCCAGCCAAGATGAGTAGTGGCGACACAAGCAAGCTCTGACCCTCATTTTCCCCAGACAAAGTGCTTTGTCTCCCCCTAAAGGAAAATTCAAATCTTACATTGTAAATTAAAATAGCATTCTAATATACAAATTTTTGCAATTTTGTTGTAAACAATTATTGTAAACAAAATAATAATAAAATATTATTTATTTATTTTTTTTTATTTATTTAAAAATTTGTGACACATCAGGGAAAAAAAAAAAATACAAAAAAGGCGTATCCCAAAACCCACTTTACATGCTAGCTTTACGGGCTGGCTTAAAATTAATTAAGATGAACTAAGCAATGAGAATCGGTAAAAAATTTTAATGTAACAATTACTTAAAGCACAAGTGAGTTTTAAAAGAAGGTCATATGTTTGTATGCATTGTTGTCTTTCGTGAAGGAGTATTTTTTAGGTAGTGTTTTTTAAAAAATAATAAGTTTTTGGGTTTTTAGGTTTAACATTTATGTGTTTAAAATTTGGGAAAAAAAAAACATTTAAAAAAAATTTAAATTTTTAAAAGGTTCAGTTATTCGGTATTTATTTGGTTTTGGGTGAGAAAGTGATTTTTGAAAGAGACTTAAATTTTAAAACAGGTAGTGTTTCTTTTATATTTACAGGAAATGATTCCAGATTTTTGGGGCCCTTTTTGTGAAATTGAGTTTTTGCAAAGTGGGGTGGACACGAGGAACATCAAAGAGTGATTGTCCCTTGTTTTATGGTCATGTGTTTGTTGAGGTTGGAAGGAGAGTTTGAGGGGAGGGTTAATTCGAGTTAAGTGTTTGTATGTAATGGGTGAGTAATAAGTATAAATGTTTTGTTGGTGAATAGGTTTAGTGTATTAAATATTGGTGGAGTGTGGCCTATAGTGGAATTGTTACATTCTAACTGACCTTTTGGGGGGTAATTAGTGGTCGAGAGGGTTACTTTTGTTGGCCCCATGCACAAATTCCCTGGGTGAGATAGGGTAAATAGAGGTGAATAGGGCCAGGAGGGCTCTAGGGGAGCATAGTCCCGTATCTTCTTTTGTATCCCTACGTCTTGGGAAAAATTTTTAAAATTTGTTGTATTGTGTATGAATTTGAGTTATTTAAAGGTGGTTTCCCTAAGAATTTTTCCCTCTGTTAGTTTTGTGTGGGTGATCCTTTATCTTTATGTTAAAGGGACATCGTAGCTCTTTTACCAAACGAATGAAGAGGTTTGCAATTTTTTAGTGTAAGTTTGTTAGTCCTCACCCCCCGGTAGTTTTTTTTCTGAAAATTCTGTATTTACAGATTGGGC